ATGTATCTGAAAGAGCATTGTAAATGTATTGATTCTGAGTACAAATGAACCATCACTTCTCCAAAGCCAGTTGAGAGAAATGGTTTAGGTCACCAGTGCATGTCCATTGACCCTCATATCTCCAGGAAACACACCATTTAGAAGGATACTAATAGGAACAAAAAGTTGAATTCCATGAGATCTAAATTAGATTTATGTTGTAGGTGTGATGTTGGAGAGAGACGTTAGCGTGAAGCTTCCACTTATCATACTGCCAGGAGTCTGCTAACAAATCTGTCTGCAACTGTTGAGCAGGTTCTGTAGATAACTGTGTAATTACAGACAATGTGAGAAAATTATATAAATTTTATTCCTTCAGTTACTTCATTTATAGTGTCTAAAGGGTGATTGTCAAAAAAATAATTAAATTGGACATGTGATTGCTTTTTTGTAATGTATACAGAAAGTGTTTTTAGGAAAAGCCCTAAAATATCACCTTCACCTTCAAAATATCAGAAATGTCTCTTCTTGTTTTCCCAGATTTTGCTGGAGTATTTGCTGACGGATTTAACTAAACAGCTGGAGGTGTCAAGCCTTTAACAAAGATGTTCTTTCTTTAAAATGCTAATTAATTATAAGAGCTAAATGTGGGTTAACTAAACAAAAGTACTGCACTGTTGTGATGTTACTATTGTACTACTCCTCCAAACCCCCCAGAATCTTCCAGAATAAACACAGAGTAAACCTCAAATGTAAGGAACAAACAGGAAAAAATTACAAAGAAAAAAATTGCTCAATTCAGACATTCTTCATACATCATAAAGCAGAAAAGAGTCAAAAAGACCAACCCCATTTTTCCTTTGAGTATTAAAAGTAGAATAGATTTCTTAAGACTCCTATACTGAACACCTTACAACATTAGGGTATGTCTAGACTGCATCCCTCTGTCGGCAAAGGGATGCAGATTAGGCAGGTCGACATTGCAAATGAGGCAGGGATTTAAATATCCCGCACCTAATTTGCATAAAATGGCCACCGAGTTTTGCCAACTCAGCACTTTGTCCGCAAAAAGTGGCAGTCTAGAGGGGGATCTATTGAGAAAGAAAGCCTTTTTCAACAGATCCCTTATGCCTCCTGCAAGGCATAAATGTGTTTAGATCCGTCTACTCCTGCTAACCCTGCAGAATCAACACAGCACTAAGCAGAGTTTTCTTTCCTCTTTTGCATCACTGTCCGAACAGTGGACAGGGCTACCAACAGAACTGCTGGGCCCTTGAGAAGGTGGGGGGTTGGCTACAGGCCCACCGAAGGAGCAGGGTTGGGGGGTGCTAGCCTCCCCCAGTCAGCCCTTCATCATGGCCTGGACTTTGACTCCAGACTCCGCTGTGGAAATTTAAAGGACTCAATAGACCCCTGTGCAGAATAAGCTCCTATTAGGCCAACATTCCAACAGAGGTAATATTTGTATGTACCAGTCTTATTGGCTCAAGTGGAAGCCCCCAGCATTTCAATCCAAATGCACACTAGATTAGGTGAACGATTAAAAAGCTTATTAACTAAAGAAAAATGTACTTGAAATTATTGTAAATAATAAAGGCATAAAAATCAAAATTAGTTACATAAGGGAAAAAACTGTAAACTAATTCCTAAACTTTACCAAGCTCAGTAAGATTTGAAACCAGACAAGTTTCTCTCATCCAAAACCTTTCAGCAGTCCATAACGAACTGGAAAGCTAACCAGTTAGAACCACTCTCCCCAGCCCAATGATGCTCTTATTGTCTTATTGTCATGAGCAGAGATGGGGTTGGCGAGGTGATGAGCTGGTCACAGTCTCTCCTTTTTATACCCTGTCTCTTTGTACTGGAAAAGTCTTTGCTGGGTCATGGAATCAGCAGTTCTACCGCATATGTGTTCTGTTCACTAACTACTTTGTTTACTACTCCCCTGCTGGTGAATCACCAATTAAATGGATCATGACTGAGGCCCTATGTAATTTCTGATATTGTGGAAATTACAAATCCCTGAATATGAGCCTTTCACCACAATTTTGATTTTAATTAGTTTACTTTGCACAGTGCACATTTTTGCATACACTTTTGAGGTTTACAATACACACTTTTCTCCCATTAGTGAAGTAGAACCAGATTTATCTGAGTTGACAGCAGCTGGGGCTCAGGCAGCCAGTCCTGTGGATGTAGAGCTTGGAGGCGGGAGGGCGGTGTCAGCCCTGTACATTAATGATTGTAATATAATTGCAGAAAAATGTCTGGTCATCAAAAAAAATTGTCAAGCACAACATAATGCTCAAGTGTTATATTGTTCCAGCTAATTTTTCTTAAACAAGTAGGTCTTCTCTTGCTTTTCCAAATTACTGAAATTAATTAAGAAAGGTCCATTATGACTTTTCTGCAATTTTCTATAGCTTATCCATAACTCAGCTACAATTATCTGACAATCATCCCATAATTCAAGTAGGACCTTAGTAATGATGATTTAGCATCCTGCTGGTGTGCAAGTATGTCTTTGTCTCTGAAAAACTAGTTTGAACCTGCTTTTCTAACTTTTCCAACGTTACAGAAAAATCATTATTGTATAGTAATATCATAACTTTACACACAGTAACCAAATATATTTTATCAAGATAATAATGTTCAGCAGATGATGAGTTTTCAAATGCTACTACACAAGGCATACTTTGTACAAAATATATCAAAATCATATAGAAGTGGTAAACATAGGATATAAGGTGTTGTGTGGGTCACAGTATGTCATAGCCCTGCCTAAATATCATACCTTACCTTGTGTTTTGCCAGTCTGATACCTTTTTAGTCTCTTTTTCTTATGGGTACTTCCATTTCTCCTTCCATCCTACCTGTATGTTTGGAAATCCTTTTGACAAATCCGTATCACAGATCTATTCAAACTGTTACTTAAGATCCTACAATCTTCCAAAATACCAACCGGCCCACCCCACCCCACCTTTTTTAGATCAGTAAATATTTGTTTGCCTATAAATTGAGTAAACATATCTTCATATATTGGTAACATGAATCTTTTCTGACTACCTCTTTTCCTGGTTTATGTTATAGTCTCACTTGTGAGGCAGATTTACCACTTCTACAATAAGGTCTCTGAAGTAAAAAAGCGTCATTTACACCTTTTCTGAAGTACTCAGCTCACAGTGGACCCTGAAATAATAATTATTAATTACAATACACTAGAATATTTACTTGGTGTTGCTTGGGTCCTTAACTCACATAAATTTGGGTTTTCTTCATTTAAATCATTGTTCTGAGGTGGGGCTGAGGATGACGGGTTTAGTATGCAGTCTGTCCTGGGGAGGGAGGACAATCCCAGCCCTCTTTCACAACAGCAGTTTGGGGGCAGGTGAGTAGTGCCTTTCCATAGCCCTTGCAGCAAGCAAATCTGGGGGAGGGATGCTCGTCCTCCAGCAAGGGGACAGGCACACAAACAGACAAACTCTCTGAAATATATAGTAAGTAGCTGTTACTTTCTCCACCCCTGTTCCTGCTGGCCCAATGGGGTTATAGTTGTCCCATCTCTGGCCTCTTGCTGCCCCTCTGTGATCATTCTACAGTATAATTCCCTCATATCAACTCCCCTTTCTTTTTTATGAGAAACAACAGAATTCTATGCACATCTCACTGTCCTGGCACAACCAAACCCTGACCTTGTTGTACGTTATGATAAGAGGAAGCTGTATACCAAATTTGGTGGTCCTAGCTCTTACTGTTTAGGAGGAGTTCTTAAACAAACAGACTCACAGACAGATGGATAGAGAGACAGACACACATTTCTAAAATGTATAGTAAGACTTTTAAATATTTAGGTTGTTACTAGAAATCTCAGCAGTCAAACTATAGTCAAACTATAAATATATTTTAAAGGTAAGTGGGAAAAAATGAAAACCAGAAAAATCAACTAAGTTAACATCTATTAAGAAAACCTGAGTATGTAAGTGATTTCCAGAGGTTTAGTAACTTTGAAATAGTGCAAGGCCCTACTGCTTCTGCTTACATTTTGCAGCTGTTACAAATTTGGAGAGGTTTAAAAGGATTTTGGACATCTTTTGCCTGGTTGCATTCACTATCTTCTTGGGAAGCCAGAAAATGAGAGTTTAGCTCTGAGCCAATGGTGTGGCTTAGCTCTCCTGAGGAAGGGATGGCCTGTGAGCCCAGCTACACAGGTAGACAAATCCAGAGCCAAATCTTTGTAGTCACTTAGATTTACAGCCTGGAAGGTTTCTTACTCAAACATAGGAACAATGTGCTGAGAGAGAGACATAATATCTTGTCTCATTGTTTCCTGTTCCTCCACTATGTTTTGTGTTCATTGATTGTCTCTTGTCTTATATTTAGATTGAAAAGTCTTTGGGGGCAAGGACTGCCTGTTTTTATATGTTTGCACAGTGAGGTCCTATTTCATGATTGTGGGGTAGTAACACAGTATAAATTATAAGCAACATATTAATCATAATAAGGAGTCTGATTCATCAATGTATAATTTCTGTTTTAAACTGGTGTAACTATTGATTTCAGCCTCATTTGTGACAATCCATTGATTTCAATGGTATAACAAGGAATATTAAACAGAAGTAACACAGTGATGAATCAAGTGTAATGTCCACTATGGCTTATTAAATCCACACTTGACAAATGGAAAATTTGTTCCATACAATAGACAGATCACACGTGGTATTTGTACAGTGTCCAGCAGAACAGGGCCTATTACAATTCAGGCTTGTAGGCACTACAATAAAAATGTTAAATACCACTACTACTATTAATAATTATATTTCCTTAAAATGGTTTCTTTCTTCTTGCCAGACCCTCACACCTTTCTCCTGAATGTTACCTCTCTTATTTTAATTTTCCAGGATAAACACAAAAATAAAATGCTCACCATTGATAAACAGGTGTTGATTCAGCTGAGCATGGCTCTTGCTTCCTTTATAATTGTGGTCTTCAGTAAGTAAGTAATGCATCTCTTTTCACTACAGAATGAAGACGTGGAAGTCCTGAATTCTGAGTATGGAAAGAACGTGATTAAACTCCTTCGCATTAGGAGAGAAGACAAGAAACACTTTATTAAAGAAGTGGAGGCTTGCGTGCATATTAGCCTAGATTCTGTCAATGAGTACTTGCATGGAGATAATTCTGCAGTTATCCCTACAGACACCATGAAGAACATCGTACTTGCTTTGGCAAAATGCAAAGGGGTATTTTTAAATATTTAGTATTTAGTGTTGTACTGACTGACTGGTATTTATGGTGATGCTCTGGATTGATTTGAAAAGGCCATTATACATATTTTTTATTGCCAACATATTTCAAAAGATCCTCTTTCCTCTTCCATTGCCCTGACTTGTCCCCTTCCAAAGCTCACCTAGTTCAAGAAATTCTTCTCCGGACAAAAAGTTATGAAAATTTGGATGAGAGCAAAATTCCTATTTTCTCCCATATATTTTTTCTTGCTTTCTGCTTCTCAGTTTGATACTGAAGCTTCTTGGAAAATTTGAACTGTATCTTTTCTTTTTACAGTAATAATCTTTCATACAGAACATTAAGTTTCTCATCTGCTATTTGGTGCACAAGTGTTGATAATCTTTATTTTTGGTTTGGCTGACTTCCCCTCGTATCATGTGTCTTTTTTACATTTGGACTCCTGGGATCTGATACCTCTGAACTTTGGAAAATATTAGTCCAATTCTGAATCTTACCCTTTGAATTTGCGTCCCTCTTCAGTTTTCTGATTTAGTCTTTTGTCTGACAAAGCCAGCACTGTTCTCACACCTGTCTTCAGATAACTGTCACAGGCCAGCTGTGCACTTTATTTATTAATAAAATAATAAATATTAATATCTACCTATTATATATATCACTTTCCATCAGCAGATCTCAAAGAGCTTTACAAAGAATATAAGCATTATTACACTCCTCCCCCTCCCCCGTGAGGGGCTTCTGCTTTTCTTTTAATTTGCTAGTTCCATATAGTCTAAATATACCGAATAATGGACCAAAGTCTCAATCCCATTATGAAATATCAACTACATCCTTTAGCGTGCTTCAATTTTTATCATTCAGTCACAGACAAGCCACCAGGAATGCACCAGGAAGATGATATTGCATCTTCTATGGGTCAGATACGAGTGGTGGCTTCTCTCACTCCATTTTTTCTTCCCTTCCCTTTGATATTATATTTAAGGAAAAAGAATCTCAGACAAATGTAACTCTTTAGCTCCTATTGTATCTTACAGTGCATGCTGACCTGGTGGTTAGAGAGGCTATCTTTATAAATCCAGTATTGAATGGCACCCATATCATGCACAAAATCTATTTTCGCACAAAATATGTACAGTGATACAGATGCACTGTGCATGTTATATTCTGTATGCCAATATACATTAGGTAATCGGTGTTCTCTAAAGTGTTATTTGGTTTCTTAGATCAACACTATAGAACAGTTTGCCCTTGATATCTGCAATCACCTCATTTCATCATATTCTCACGTGATGCATGTCAAGGTCTATGTACAAGAGGTACCATGGCGGCATCTGGAAAAGGTATATAAAAATATTATTGTGTTTTCTTGGATGTTTCTTTCTCATTTTTTAAGTTATACTACAATGCATTCCAGTTTTACTTACCAGTATGTGTTAAATCTGTAGAATGGTGTCCCCCATGCCCATGCCTTTATCTGTGTTCCTGAAGGGATTCGTTTTTGTGAAGCTGAACAGTGTCAAAAAGGTGAGAAAATAATTCCCAATTTTCCCTTAGCATCATTACTTTTTCCTTAACATCTCTATTCATTAAAGACAAATACAGGTTTAGAGGTAGTTTTAGGAGTTAAAGGTTTACAACACGATTAAAGATTGTCCACCGTGTTCAAACAAAGAGGCATGCTTAAAGTTTTCAGATGGGTTTGATCCTTTGTCCTTGCTCACTGAATAAAGGGTGAGAAAATAATGCAGGATCCAGGCTTATATTTATAGAGTTCTGTTACATAAACTTGCAGGACTGAACTGGCTTCTGAAAAATGACCTGCTTAAACAAATAGATTATACTATTGGCTATCGTCAGACTATTAATGATACTCTAACATTCAGTACACTCCCAAAGACATAGTAGTTTAGTCCAACTGCCCAATTTACAGTAAAACTGCAAAACCATATGAAGATGTCTTGGCTTTGCTTCTAAAAAGATGTAATTTCAGCATTACAAATGAGGCCAAACTATTAGGAGGACTTCTCCCTAGCCTCTAAAAGTGCACCCATAACTTTTTGAAAGAAATGTTTTCATGTGTAAAATGTTTGTGCACAAAATCTGAATTCCTTGCATAACCAAAACTCCTAATGAGTTCAGTGAGAGTTTTGGAGTGATCAAGAAATGCAGAATTTAAGGCTGCACCTTCATATGTAAACTAGGGTGTTAGATGTCTAGCTACCAATCTGAATCTACAAATTCCATCTCATTGCTGTGACTACCAACAAGAATGCCAGTTAGATCCAAATTTTGTTTTATGTGACATGATGAGGATGTAATGCCAAGAACTGGACTGCAATCACTAAAATGTTAATCACAATGGGACTAAAGTTTCTAGGCACTGCTGCGATGGAAACAGTAACAATAGGCTCCTCAGTACTGAACAATCATCAGAGAGTAACAAGTTTTAATTGCTACTGACTGAGGCTGTATTCAAATTCATATGCTAGAGATGAAAGCTCTGTAGCTCATTATCAGTCTTTGAACCCTCGAATCCCATTCCTGGTTCACAGGGTTGTTAGAACTGGAAGGCACCTCTATGGGTCATCTAGCATGTCTCCTTGTATCTTGGCACAACTCATTTCCTTTGCAAACAGCAAAGAGCTCTGAAAGACACGTGCTGAGTGGTTTTTTTTTTGGTGTTTATACTTGTAGAACAGGCAGCATGAGACACAAATTTCCACTGAATTTTGGCCTCAGTTTTCTGTAAAAAGAGATGTTTCTCAGCCATGGAGACATTTAACCAATGCCATAATTTTTGGCAGCATGATCAGCGCTGACTTTGGCTTCTTCATCCTTTTAGGAAAATTCCTCTCAACTTTTACATGGAAATTAAAAAAAAGAAACCTGAATGAAATTAAAGAGTTTATATCATTTGCTGAAAAAGCTCCCACTTTTAATACATTGATAGTATCTCATATTTTTCAGTTTCTAAACACTCCTCACCAAAATTTTTTATACCACATGCATCAAAACTGTGAATGATTGTGTGAAGGGGTGGTCTGTCCCTTACGGATGGTAGCAATGAGGTCAGTCCATCCCTGTTATGTGGCATGGACTTTTAAGATTTTGAATGATCTGGTGTATACATAAGGCCCTAGGAAACATTGATAAAGCAGAAGAAGTGCCAGGATAAATGGTGCTCGGGAGGAAATGCTATCACTCCACTCTGTTTCTAACAGCCCAGAAGCTTAGCCGAGTGGGTGGGGACAAACTGGGTGAAGAGAACGCGCATAAATTCTGCCTCCTCCCTCATAGCAAGGCAGACAGTCAATGGAGAAGGCTGGCCTACTGAACCCTCTGAGCATGAGGACTAATTGGAGAAAAAGAGGCAGCTGAGGTAGAAGATGGCTAGGGCTCTACAGCTGGCTAAAGTACAACCTAGATTCAACAAGGATAGCTGAGGGACTGGCTTCCTAATGTGATCCAGGTCATAAAGTAACTCTCTCCCATTGTCTGTTGATGAACTAGGAGAAAACACTTCAGGAGCAGGTTGCATTTGCATGCCAGTGATGGGCTAATATCAGGCTGTGTGTCAGATCTGGTTCCCCAGGGGTGGTCCTTGGTGGGCCACCACCTTTATATTTACCTGTGCTTCTGCAGACACTAGTGATTGCAGCTCCTGTTGGCCACGGGTCACTGCAATGGGAGCTGTGGGAAATGGTGTCCTGGTCCATGCCACTTCTCGCAGCTCCCATTGGCTAGGATCGGTGATCTGCAGCTAATGGGAGCTGCAAGCACCTGTACCTGCAGAGATAGCAGCAGTGGCCCGCCAGGGGCTAACCTTGGCAAACCGTTGTTGTTTGATTGATCACCACTGGCATAGACATACTTGCTTTGTCTAGATGATGAGCAGACATATTGGCTTTGCCAAAGTGATCAATTTTGGCTGTTTTGGATTAAAACTCACCATTGTTTTGAGTGAAGGGGTAATGAAATGTTATCCACATTGTACAGCTAGAGGGTAGAAGAACTGTACTTAAAATGTCCCTATAGAAGGGGACATCTTTACTTGAATTTCACCTACAAGCAGAGATAGAAATGCCAAATCCAAGTGAAAGTGAGGGGGATGGGTTAACTGGCGGTGCAGACTTTGTATAATGAATCCTAGACACTGTTGGAACCTTTCCTACTAGCATTTAAAGACAGAGCTGATCATACTCAGCCTGGAGTCTGCATTTCTGGTCAACGATCACTAGAGTTGAAATCACAGATGAGCAATTTTGGGGGCTGAGCCTTAGACCCGGTGTGTGGGCAATGTTGTACTGAAAGATAAAACAGAGGATGCAGCAGAACTGATACTTCTCACTGTCCTCTGATACCACTAAGAAGTGGGCTAAGCAATGTAACCTTAGAACACAGCATCACAGCTAGAGGAAGAAGTGACAGCAAGCAGCAGCAGAGATGCAGAGAGCAGCAATAAATGTGGTAGTTTTTATCAGCAGTTGCTGCCATTGTGACCTTGAGGGGCACGCCCTCCACACCAGATCCCAAGGAGGAAAAAGAAGAGGGCTAGGGAGCATGTGTTTGGCAAGATCCTGCAAGCCAGTGCTGCATCAGACCACAAACTAAGGGTCTGGAGGGCCAAGATGGCAGGCAGCATGACGCAAGAGACAGTGGAGAGGAGAAAGGCCCAGGAAAACCAGGACATAATAGGTTTTCCTCAGGGAGCAAACCCAAATGCTTTTCCAAACCCGGACTGACATACAGATCCAAAAATCCTGGACTCCCTACCCTTTGCAATCCTGAGAGAACTCCATTGTAGCAGCTCTTTGCATACTCCTACATTTCATGTGCAATAACTGCCACATCCTTATTCCTACCATTCTGCGTGCCTACCACAAGGAAAACTACAACTTCATGTACACTGACATCTGAGAGCCACAGCTGGCATATGTGTAGGCACCACCGATTGTATTTGTACACTGAAATGGACAGACATATTAGCCGCCTTTCCAGTTTCAAAGTCCCACTCTTAATACATGTTCAGAGTTCATATTGCATTGCCTGCAGTTTTTGGCTCATGGTGTTTCTGCATTGTTTTTTTCCATGCAATGATTTTCTATTTTTGGAAAATAAAATTGTCATTAATAGTACACAGCACACATTGCACAGTGCACTGCAGTACTCAAAACACCCAGTACTTGTAACGTACAGCAAGAACCACATCACTCAAAGGCTCGGGACAAACAGTCCGAGCTGTAACGGCACAGCAACCCCCAAACAAGTCTTAACAGCAACCAAAGCTCAAGTCACGGAGAACAGTTTAGCTGACTATTAATGTGGTACTTCTGCGTCCTGTATTTGCAATGTTCATGAGAACAGTGCAGAGTTCAGTGGGACCCATGCTTCTATCAGAGATGGTAGAAAACAAAAAGTGCCACAAGGATTTGTGGATTTTAATAATAAGCAGCAAAACTTATGGGTTATGCATAGCATTATGGAGTGGGGAGACTTGCATGCTGGGATCTTGATCCCTAGTTCCCAGTGATCCATAAACAAGTCATTTCTGCCTTGCAACACATTACAAAAATGCCCCAAAAGGCAGGTACGTGGCACACTTCACATTGCATTGACACAAGAACTTCTGGTGAGTATGTGCAGTGCTAGTGCAAGCTGCCAAGTATGCACTCATGAGTGAAGTGCTAACTTTGGTGACTGTATGCTGATGTACATTGTGTGAAATAAAGTTTGCAGTGTAGCTATGGCCTCCCTGCATGAATAGGAGCTGATCTTTTCTTTCTAATATTTTTGGATCACAGGTTGCCCACTTGTTATCTCTGGAATTAAAGAGCTGAAACTCAAGAAAACAACGCAATCTGGATTCCAAGGCTTCCATAGGGACAAATACACCACAATTCCTGATCGGAGCGACAGGGTTTTAAGTGCAGAACTATTCTGCAAGTGGTTCTATGGCAAGTGCCAAGATATTGACTTTGACTGCATATGGTATGTACTGAACTGAATTATAACTGCTGGCTAATGTATTATACTAGACTCCCTCTAAAGAAAACCCAAAACAAAACAAAGAACCTTCCATGTGCTGTAGGCACTGCAAGGACGGTGCTCTAAAAGCAAGGCCAGGTTGCTTTGGGTTACAACTAAAATTGCCTTATTTAAATTCCCCGGGCCTGAATTTCACAGTTTCTGAGCACTCATAGCTCCTTCTGACGTCAGCTGAAGTTGTGAGTGTTCAGTACTTTTGAGGCTGAATGCTAGATTGTCTTTGGTGTAAACTGGCATTGCTCCAGTGTCGAGTTCTGCTAACTTACACCAGCTGATGATCTGGGCAGAACAGTTCATATTTGAACACAGACCACTTTGGTAAAATATGTTAAACAACTTAAATAAAAGGCTGGTTTGCAATATTAAGGGTTGGGGGATAGGAGTGGGATGGGGGATTGGTAAGGATAGGGCTTAGAACAAACCCCATGTTATATTGTTGTTAGAATAAATACAGAAGAAATGAAAATAAAGTATTAAAGATAAAAACAAGCCTACAGGCAATTAATCAAATGTTTCATCAGTAATTTTAGATCTTTTCTTTCATTCAATATTTTTAAGGGACACTGTTCATGAGTGTGTCCTTGAGGCATTTTCTGGGCCCCCTGAGTGTGGGCAATACTCACCCTCACACCAGAAGACTGTCAACAATATTCAGATGCTCATCCTGGGAAGAGTTCCACAGGTATCTCTTTCACCATTCAATATAGCTCATAAAGCACATACAGTTATAGGGTCCACTGAAAAGTTCAGGCTGAATCCATTTGTCTAGATCACCTAAGTAAACATGAAGCTTCCTGAAGATGCAGCTAGCTGTTTTGGGAAAATGAGAATGCTCACGAAATGCCAACCTGTGAGGTACTGCACCTCCTGTGAAGACAATGAACATAAAGGGCATTCCGCTTTACCCAGGAAAACACTCAGGATATGTCTACCCTACAGCACTAATTCGAACTAACTTAATTCGAATTAGTTAATTCGAACTAAGCTAATTCCAATTAGTGAATCTAGACCTAAAAACTAGTTTGAATTAGCATTTTACTAATTTGAACTAGCATGTCCACATTGAGTGGACCCTGAACCGAAGTTAAGGCTGGCCGGAAGCTGTGCCAGCAGGGCATCAGATTAGGACTTAGAGCGTGGAGCTGCTGTCTCAGACTAGCTGAGGGCTGTGCTTAAAGGGACCTGACCCCCACCCTGGACAGACAGTTCTCAGGGTTCCCTGCTCGCTTGTCTAACTCAATGAGGGACAGCAAAGCAGTCCTGGCTTGGAGTGCCCTGAATGCCCACACTCGGCACATCACAGCACTCAGCCATCAGCCCGGCTGCACTTGCTGCAGGCTGCCATCTGGGGAAGTCAATCAGGGGGCTATCAGGATCCAGAAGGCCCTGCAGGAGAGCTTCCACCCCGAGGAGCCCACAGAGCCACCCCAGTCCTCCCCATCGGGGGCTCGTGCCCCATTCCTCCCTCACCTCCTTCCACTTACCCCTC